TAGGCCAACTTCAGATTCTGATTTGAAATCTGCTGCCGACTAAGGGCTCTGGGTCAAGTAATTTCTCTCTTCTGCACAGTGGGAGTTGGTTGGGAGGAATCAATGAGATTATGTGGTACCTAGGGACCATGAAACATGACCGTTCTCCCCTTGCCCCCTTGACTCCCCCTGTTAGAAAGGCTTTCCTAGATTAACAATGGTAACAACTCCTATTGATTAAATGCCTGCACTGTGCTATGGGCTTCATAAGCATTGTTCCATTTAATCCTCACCACTTTCTGAGGTGGTGTGATTGGTATTCCCATTTGAAAGATGGGGAAATTGAGGCACAGAGAGGTTAAGTAACTCTCCATCATAAGGAGCATGGCCAAGATTTGAACCTAGGCCATGTTCTAAGAACTTAAAAAAATTATGACCACTTTATGATCATAATAATCTTATGTGGTAGGTACCATTATCACCCCGATGTTACAGATGAGGAAACTGAGGCACAGAGAAGTTTACATACTCAGGGTCACACAGCTCCTAAGTTCCTAAGTGGCAGAGCCAGAGGGCCCTGTCCTGCCTCTTCCTCGCACATGACAGACCTGGGCAGACTCAGGGATAATGCCTGTGGCCCAGCCCCAGCTCCTTTGGGAACTCCTCACCAATAATGTCCCTCTGACTATCAAGGCTGACAGCTGGATGGAGATGCACCGATGCTAATTCTGCTCAAAATGACAGCCTTACTGGCCGACAAGCCTCCCTAGAAGCCAGCCTCCCACAGGGGAGGGAAACATGGAAAGATCAATGCTATAATAGGGTGACCCCTCATTCTGTTCAATGCATGCTTTTAAGGGAAACGAGAAGAAAAAATATCAATAGATTTAAAACATAGAGTTCTGATTCACTTGGTGCGAAGGATTGCAAAGGAAAAAGAACACAGAAAGGGAGCACAGGGTGTGGGGCTCTTCCTGTGCCAGGCCTGCTCTAAGCACTTTACATGCCTGAAGGAGTTCAACTCCACTGAGAATTATCTGACGGTCCCCATTTTACAGATAAGGAGACTAAGGCCCAGAGAGGTCACTCAGCTGGTGAACTGTAGAGGAAGGACAGAAATTTGGGCCTTTTTGGTTCCCCAACAGACCACATCTTTAACCCTTGGTTCTGCTCTCTCCCTCTCACAATAGGGTAATGGACCCAAAATGCAGGGTACCCTGGAACGCATTGCTGGCCTTCAGGACCCCCTCCCCACACCCCCATCAGAGCTCAGGCACCTACAGTCTAGGCATGTCAGGGCTACCAGGAGCCATGAGCATGACAAGAGCTTGCTAGCTCTGCAATCCCCCTTCCGTGAAGTGTGTGAAGCCCCTGGCACTGGACCTGGAGCCACACTCGTGCTGATATTCCTCCCCACCCCCGTGGGGCCATGGTGGCCCAACATCATGTGGCATGGAGTGCAAGCTCAAGTCGGGCCTTGGCCTTCTGCCTCTAAGTCTGTGCTCTCCTGCCTCACTCTGAAACCAGAAATATCAAGGAGCATGACCTCAAAACTGAGTCACCATGGAACCATTTTATTTGGTTGCCTGGAGCAGTAAAAAGACTCAATTCACCCCACTGAGAGTAAAAGCAAAATTCTCATCACAGTCCCTCTGCCTCTCTGACCTTACCTCCTAATAGTTTCCCCTTTGCCAGTTCCACTACAGTGTACTAATCTCCTCACTATTCTAAATACCAGACACAGGGCCACCCCAGGGCCTTTGCACTGGCTATTCCCTCTGCCCAGAATGTTTTCTCAGACATCCACAAAACTGCCTCCCTTGCCTCCTTCAAGAACTTATGGAAATGTCACCTTCTCAGGGAGGCCTTTCTCAATCAGCCTGTTTGAACTTACCCCTGCACCCCCACACCTCCAATACCTCCCATTACCTTCTTCCTCTGCTTTATTTTTCTTCCTAGCATTCAATGCCATCTAACAGATGTCACTTTTTTTTCCTTTTAACTTAGTGATCTTATTAACTATCTGCCTCTGCCCCACTAGGATGTCAGTTCCAGGGGGTTGGATTGTTGTTTGCCTGTTCATTGCTACATCCAGCACAGAGAGCCTGGCACACAGTAAGTGCTCAGTAAATAATTTTGAATTCAATTTCACTTACAGATTAGGAGAATGGGAATCAAAGAGGTAGAATGAGTTATTCAAGGTCACAGAATCAAAAAGAGGCAGAACCAAGATGCAAACCCAGGCCTCCCTGACTCTAGTCCATGGTCGCCATGGCCTCCCTGGTCTGGAGCCTGGGGTTTCCCCAGGGCTACAACCCCTGCTGTGGCACAGGAGGTTGGGCCTGCGCAAGGATCCAGGTGGTCTGGTGAGAGTCCCCTCAGAGGAGTGGGAAGCCCAAGCCACAGCAGAAAGACTCCCTACACACACACACACACACACACACACACGCACACACAGCCCAAGCCTTCCCGGTTCTGGCTAGGTGGCAAGTGTTCACTCAGGCCTAGCAGGCCCTGGGAACAGAGATCACTTTGTGGCCTGGACTCAGAAAAGAGTGAACACTGGGAACAGGGCTGGGGGTGGGCAAGGGGGAGAGCTATTGCCAAAATCTGTGTTCATGACTACTGTGTGTCCCAGTCCTGGTCACAGCCTTTCCTGCAAGGGCTCAGGGATAGTGGTAGGTAAACAAGACTCTCAGGAGCAAGACTGAATATGTTCAGGGTACAGGACTGAGAAAGGACTCATGCAGGCAGCGGTCCTTCAGGGCAGAGAAAGGGCACTGGGCAGTGTTTCCCAAGCCTGGTGCTCACTGAGGAGCACTGCGAGTGGCCTGACTTCTCAGGGCCTCAGCTTTCTCTGAAAAATGTGGAGGGTGTATGGACTGGCCACCTGTTGGCTGCCTTGTCCCCCTGCTCAGGGGGAGGCCACATGACCAGGCCTGGCCAATCAGGGATCCAGTGATTGTCAGGAGAGGGCATGTGAGCCAAGCTGGGCTGACAAGAACAGGCCCTGGGACGTTTGCTGAAACTACTGGAAATTGTCCTTCCTTAGGAAGAACTGAGCTAGTTAACTTTAAGCTTGAAAGTACTAGGGGCTCTCTGGAGAAGAGTCTGCCTAGAAATGAAACTCGCCTAAAGAGAAGCAGAAACCTAGAGTCCTAATGATGTTAACTGAGCACCTGGATCTGGCTATGCCTGAAGCTCTATCTTCGGATTTTTCTTAAAAAGAGCCTTGCACTGACACCAACTGAGGCAAGTGTGACTGTGAGGTTCTATGACCTGGGAAGGAAAGTAGGTGGGGGATGCAGTGGTAAGGGTGGGGGTCAAGTAAATCATCAGAGAGAAAAAGTCAGAGATTATGAAGGGCCTTGAATGCCAGGATAAGGAGCTGTAATCAGATTTGAGTTTTAGCAAGCTCCCTCCCATGGCAGCATGGGGAGAGGAGGGGGAGGCCAGGAAGCCAGGGAGGAGACTGGGAAAAGGTCCAGGCAGGCGATGCTGAGGCTTAAGCCTGGGTGGAGGCAGACAACCATGACAGGGGTGGGGGCTGGGGGCGGGGAGGAAGACCTCTCTCGGCCAATGCTCCAGGTGAGGTCTCTGGGGCACCACTGCCCTTGTGGCTCTGAGCACTGCAGGATGAGGTGACCCCCCACTCACCTGGGCCTTAGGTGAAGAGGACAGATGTGCCCAGGCAGGAAAGCAGTGCTTCCATTTATAGTGCAGTCGCCAGGAGGGGCAGGAGCAGACCACATGGGGTCAAATCCTAGCCTTGTCACTTCTGTCTGTGTAGTCTTAGACAAGTCACTTAACACCTCTATGCCTCAGTTTTCCCAACTGTAAAATGGGAAGAATAGTCCTGAACTCACAGTTGTTGTGAAGATTAAATGAGAAAATGTATAGACAGAACTTAGAACAGAGTAAGATCTGGCACAGAAGAAGATATCAACAGCTGTCAGCCATTATTTGCATTATTATTATGTGGGGTTCTGGGGGTAACCCTGCCTCAGACCCCTTGCCCCAGGTGGAGAAGGGGGAGACTAAGTTCATCAGGCCCTTGGAAGCAGGGTGGGGAGCTCTGCTGTACTCATGTGGGTGCCAATCCCAAGTTCAGTCACTGTGCAGTAGCTATAGGGCCTTGGGAAGACCACTGGGTCTGTGCTTCGGTTTCCTCACCTGTCCACTGGGACCACAGTCCCTTCCTTTTTAGTTGCTACGAGGTGGTAAAGTCAAGAGTATATCGAGTGTGTGAAGGGATTGACACGGGTGGCCCCAGGGCAGAGAGTGAAGGATAACTTGGTCCTGGCTCCTGACAAACTCTCTGTTGGGTGGTTTGAAGGAAGTAAGGCCAGACCAGTAAACTAGAGAGATGATAGATGATGATAGATAGATGATAGATAGATGATAGATGATAGATAGATGATAGATGATAGATAGATAGATAGATAGATAGATAGATAGATAGATAGATAGATAGATAGATAGATAGATAGATAGATAGATGATAGGGCAATTATGTCTGTCCCAGAGCTTCCCTGAGTTCCAGTCCTGGCCCACCCATGAATGTGGCAGCTATGTGACACCTACTACCCAGAGGCCCAGGATTCACCAACTAGACCCCCAGCCAGGGCTTCTTCCTTCTGCTGCAAGGTCCAGGAGCTGCCTCCACACCAAACCTTTGCTCTCACACCTTCAGCAGAGAACTCTCCTACCAGCTTCTGCAGAGGTGGATGCCATCCCTGAGGCACCCCTGAGGGGCTGAGCACTGCCCTCTGGAACTCCAGACCTACCTGCTGTCCTTGCAGTGCTCAGCAGCCCAGGGGACTCAGCCCCTTGCTGCAGGACAGCAGCCAGTGTCAGACAGCCCTGTCACTTGCTCACCCTGGCCAGGTGTCCCTGCGCTCTCTCCAAGCCCTGGGTCTCTGGGGAGTGGCAGTCCCAGTCTTAGCCATCCCAGTCCCCTCTTGGGCAGCAGTTGCAGGAACCAGCCCTACCACTCTGAATACAGGTCCCCCATTACTTACCAGCCTCTCCAGGGGTCTCCCGGTTGAGCCCACACAGCATGTCTGCTATTGTCCCTGCTGCCCACTGACTCCCTTGGGAGCCACGCTGCTCGGCCCCTCCCACACCCTCAGCAGGGCGGGGCTGTGGGAGGGAAGCTCCCAGCTCCCACTGGCTGGGTACTGAGTCCACCCACTGAAGCAGACGGCTCTCCGCTTAAAGGGGACATACTGCTGTCATTTCTGGCTCCTGGATGGGTTCAACACCCTCACCCCCACAGCCTGGGCAGGAGATCTTTGAAGATGGCATGCATGGGGTCTCCCCCAGGGCCCTCAGGCAGACAGACCCCAGGTCCAATTCAGCTCCTAACTTGTCCTGGGAGTTTGGCAAGTGATTGCCCTCCCCAGGCCTCAGTTTTTCCATCCAGAGAGGGGGAACAGTGCCTTTCAAACTTTTTTTCTGTAAATAGCAGATGCCAATAGAATCCCAAGACATAAACCAGGGTAGCCAATGGATGATGCCAGGGCAGTCTGTAGGTCCCAGGTTAGATCCCTTGGGCTTGGAGACCCCCTGGGGTGCTTCCATGACATTCTAGGTGGATATAACTACCTCACCCAGGCTTCAGTTTCCTTTTCTGTAAGGTAGGGCTTGAGGAAGATAAGCCCAGCAGCTTGCCACATGGAGCATCCCCCTAGCTTTCTGGGAAGACTGAGGGAGCTGGGCTCAGGATCTGCCTGCTTCTGGCCTTGATAGGCAAGAGCAGCTGGTAACAACTCCAGCCCCGGCTGGGCCTCAGCCCTGCACACTCCTAGATCCCTCCATGCCAGCTCAGGCCTGACCCTCCTCCAGCTCTCCAGCTGCTCCTGCTCTCCATCCCACCCATGTGTATTGGTACCAACTGCGGACAGACACCACATAGGTGCTGTGGAGAAGGGTGGGTGTCAAAGCCTGTGACGACATGGTGCATCCGGTTGAATGCAGCAAAGAATGAGGCAGACAAGGTCCTGGCTCCCATGGCATTCTTGGATGCATGGGAACCAGCAGGTCTCACAGTAATTGTGTGTCTTGCAGAAAGTGGGAAAGTGCTTCCCAGTGGTTAGGGACTGGAAGTTTCTTCTGGATTCTCTCCTGAGCAGGGGTTCCCACCACAAAATCCAGCCCACAATTCCTGGGCCACCCACTCTGGCTCCTACCAACACAACACTGAGGGCACCTTCAGAACAATCCAGACTCTAAATCTGGGGTGGGGCCACTTATACCCCTGTATCCATAGGTCATGTTCCTCCATTGCTGCTTTCTTCCTAGAGGTACTTCCCTCTTCGGGTGGCTACAGGCAGGTCCCAGGGGGCAGGGTCCAGGTTCCAGGTGAAGTTCCCTTGGGCCAGCAGTGAGGCCAAAAGTCAAAGAGAAACGCCAAGATCTCAGCCACGGAAGGTGTGGTAAGGTGGGTCAGAGAGGGAGGACCTGTAACTGGGTCAGGCAGAGACGGTGCCTAGGCGATGGCCAGGACAAGACACTGGATGAAGACCTTGATCATCCCCAGGGTACCGAGGGCCACTTTCGGGCAGTCCCAGCTCCACGCCAGGCTGGAAGGGACAAAGACTTCCGGGCAAGTAAACTGCTCTAACAGATCCTTGCTCTCTTTTCCCCCCATTTACAGCCCCTTCAGGGAGGAGGGCTTCATAGCGCACAAGATTTTAGAGTTACATCCACCCTCTCTCCTAAGAAAATGTTTGCTCTCCATACAGATGCATTTAAATGAGCGATTAAGATGGGCTGCCGGAAACCTCGCCGTGTTTGTCTTTCTCGCTGCTCCTCTGGAATTTACTTTTGTGGATGAGAGGCTCCTGCAAAGGTCATGCTGCAGGTTCTGGGAGAGCTTCCATTCAGTGTGTCCGCCATGCCAGGCCCTGAGCGCCGAAACACCAGGATACCGATGGGAAACGGTGTCTTCCCTCTGCCCTCTGTCCCTGTCAGCCCGCCAAGCACTTGATTTATCCAAGAGTATGTTAGTCCATTTTGGAACAAGGCAGGGTTTAAGTAAATAATCGGCCCAGAGAGGTTAAATAATTTGCCCAAGTTCATCCAGCTGTAAGGGTGGAGGAGCTAGGTTCACATCTAAGAGGTCTGTTGTTTTTAATCCTTACCCGAGGATATGTTTATTGATTTTTAGAGAAAGGAAGGGA